TAAAGAGTTGATGTAGAAATTTGGTGTTAGAACTATAGCTCTAGAGCATAAAAGATGTTGGAAGTTCAAATTGTGATTACGGGTCTCTCCACAGTTGAAATCAGGACAATGAATGTTCCCCCCTAAAGGAGAGATGTAGTAAGAGAAAAGGTGAAAGGTAAAACCCCAAATCTTGGCAGTAAGAATCATCAAGTGATAACTGATACCACCAAGCTATATTCAAACCAAAACAAAACCCATTGCTGTTGAGTAGATTCCGACTCATTGTGACCCTATAGGACAGAGTAGAACTGCCCCATGGGGTTTCTAAGGAGTGGCTGGTAGATATTAACCACCAGGGCTATATTCAACCCTCTACAGTTAGTGTCTGTACAGGAGCAGGAGCCCTAGTGGTGCAGTGGTTAAGAGCTATGGCTACTAACCAAAAGGTCAGCAGTTCAAATCTGCCAATCGCTCCTTAGAAACCCTATGGGGCAGTTCTACTCTGCTCTATAGGGTTGATGGAATCCACTAGATGGCAACGGGTGTGGTTTTATTTTGTTTTACTTGATATCTTTGTCACTGTTTAATCCAGTATTTTTCAAAAATGTGTTTTACACAGCACTAGTTCTATGAGATGTTAGACATTAACAGAGAGAGGGAAAAAGTAACTTGATCTCTTCTTCAAAGTTTTGTAAGAAAGTTTTTAAAAAGATTGGTAGTAAGATAAGTGAATAGGGATTATAAGAGAGAGCGACAGGAATGAGCTAAACTCCCCAGGCCAGAAGATGCTAGTTAGATTAGGGGATGGACAACTTTAAACAAAAGCAGTAGCTATTTCTCCTTTCTTTGGGCTGTGGCTAGGGGATGAGTGATGGGGCAAGAAGAAAATTACAGCCACTCTCTGGGAAGGGAGAAAGAGAGTCTGCTTTTGTTTAAAGTTGGCCACCCCAAATTAACTGACATAGGTAACTGGGCTGATTGGATTCCCTAAAATACTATACCTCCTTACTCCCCTTTATTCAGAAGGCATAAGTGAATATTTATAGGGAGACCAATAGAACCTCTTGGAAATCCTGTTAGAAAAGTATTGCTGGGAGAGTGGAACCCCATCTAAGATGGCAGCTTCTATCCTCCTCTGCCCCTGCCCCTGCAGATTCTTTTACTACTTGGCTTGCTGGCTGCAGGACAGGCCAGGGGGAAAACTCTGTCTCTTTAGCCTCCACGTCCTGAGGGCAAATTCCTGCCTGGCAGTCTCTGAGTGGGAATAAGGGCTGGGCTGAGCTTGAAGTTCAGCTTTAAAATATTGTCGCGTGTGGAATGTGAGTTTTCTTTTGTCCTTTTGCCTCAGGACCTGCAGATGTTAGAAGGCAGGTCTGGCTACTGATTTCTCTATTAACTGAAGTTACAACTGTTAATTTTATTGGCAAGGTGCCTCGCCCTATGTTCATGAACAAGGTAGGAGCTCCCTCTTGTGGTGTTTTACCAAAGCACATTCTTTTTAATTACTGTTGAAAGTATTTGGGTAGAAATTTTTTATTTTCCATAAGAAGTCAAAATCCTATGTTCGAATAGTTTCCTTAGCTAATGATAACACAAAATTCACAAAACAGGTAAATATGTTTTATGAAACTGTATTATAACCTTTGCTTTTTATTGAATTATTTTATACTTGCTTATGATGGATGGTCTTCTTTGAGTCCCTATAGCATCTCTGAATGTCTAGGAATGTTAGTGAGTAATGAAAATTATATACTCAAAAATGAAAATATCTTCCAAAATACTAAGTAGAGATGTGCTTCGCACTCAATAGATGTGTAGATCTTTTTTAACTAAAAAGTTTTATAGAATCAAATTTTTGCAAATCAGACATTCTTTTAAATGTCCTAGACCAGCTTTTAATTAACAAAACAAAACAAACAAAAACTTTTATATTAACATTTGCAAAATAAATAGTAATAATTATAATTTATTGAGGCTTTACTGAGTTGTGCGATGTCAAATGCCTAAAAGTTATTATCTCTTATACTAACTCAATAAGGAATGTATAATTACTATATACAGATGGGAAAATATAAATCTAGGAATACAAAAGTAATCTCTCTAATGTTATCACACACGGAGTGAGGTTTGAATCAAGGTTCTCTAGGTTAGGATGATAAAGCACGTATATAGACCTGGTTTGAATTTCAGCTCTACTTCTCCATAAGTGCTCAAAAAATTTTGGTTTTTCTGTGTGGTATGGTGGGAAATAAAGTGATGTATCATTGGAGTAAATGATTTCTAAAATTAATTTAAATGCTAACAGTCTGTGTTATAGTAAAGTGTTTCAATTATAAATCATTCTTATGGCTTATTGAACCATATGCCAAACCGTCTGTATTTAATATTTTGTTTGTTATCCTATAGAAGTGCCTTCTCCTTTTAAATAGGTGTGTTTCACTCTCTTAAATTGATTCATGTATTATATGTATGGGCTTAGTTCTATCTTCATCCTTCCTTCATTCCTTTGTTCGTTTATTCATTTGTACCTTCCTTCTCTCCTTCTTTTCTTTTCTTTCTTGAATTTGGTCAGCACGTGTATTCTGCTGTTGTTAGGTGGAATGTTCCATATATGTACGTTGGTTTATAGCATTGTTCAAATCTTCTATTTCCTTGTCTCTCCATTATTCAAAGTGGGGTGTTGAAGTCTCCAGCTATCAATTTTGTACTATTTCTCCCTTCAGTTCTGTCAGTTTTTGCTTCATATATGCTGGGGCTCTGTTAGGTGCATATATGTTTATAATTGCTGTACCTTATTGATGAGTTGAATCTTTTATCATTATATAATGTCCTTCTTGTCTGTTGTAACAATTTTTGACTTAAAATCTGTTAAAGTCTTCAAAGTTTATTTTAGTACAGCCACAGCAGCTCTCTTTTGGCTACTGTTTTCATGGAATATCTTTTCCCATTCTGTCACCTTCAACATATTGTTGAAATGAGTCTATAATAGATAAGTATCTTTTGTGGTAATCTACAGACATTTTGATTATACGAGTATTCTGTAGGGTTTTGGTGTTTGTTTTTCAAAGGAAACCATGAGGTTTCAACAGGTTTGTTTAAATAAATTTTTCAAATATCATAGAAGAATATCAAGGGAAAAATAAAGCTCTCCTTTACCTCTGCCTGCCCCAACTTTATGCCCCCCCATGTCATTTAGATGGAGGCAAACACCTCTGTTAACAGTTGGTAATGTATCTAAAATGAGGCTTTTGTAGACAGCATCTAGCTGGATCATTAAAAAAAATCCATTCTACCGATGTCTGATTCTTTAATTGGAGAGTTTAATCCATTACATTTAATCTAATTATTAATAAGGATGGGCTTACTTCCACCGTACATTTGTTTTCTATATTTCATATAATTGGTATGCTTAATATGACTGTACTTCTTGAAACAAATGGATATGCAACATGTGTGTAAAACGATGTCTGAAAAATGACAAAATAAACTGTTAACAGGTGTTTACATCCATCTAAGTGACATGGGGGGCATAAAGTCGGAGCAGGCAGAGGTAAAGGAGAGCTTTATTTTTCCCTTGATATTCTTCTGTGATATTTGAAATTTATTTATTTAAAAAAGTCTGTTGAAACCTCATGGTTTCCTTTGAAAAAGAAAAACAAACACCAAAACCATACGGAATACTCATATAATCAAAATGTCTGTAGATTACCACAAAAGTTACTTATCTATTATAAAAAATAGGTAATTTATCTATTATAAACAGTAAAGAAATAATAAAAAATAGTACACCAAAAAATATACGTAGGTAAGTTCAACTTCACAATGTATGTAATCATAAGAGATTATTATTTTAATCTACTTCCTGAAGAAAAGTGAAGATTGAAGCCAGGAATTAAAATTTAAATTCCTGCCATGGCCAGGGAAGTAGTAAAGTAGACCCAGCCCTGTTAAAAATGCAAATTCTCTGCCAAAATAGTCATCAAACTCTCATAGCATAAATATATACAATATTAGAGAGTATATTATAACTTTGGAATTTAAAAATACACATTTCTATGCATAGAATTGACTTCTGAAAATTTGATAAGCATGAAATTAATTTCTTCATCTCAAGAAATAAAAAATATGTAAATTAAAGAATCTCAGGATCAATGCTTTAAGTGCTTTACTTATCCATCAGGAAACAATAAATCTTGATCTGCTGTTAAGGAAATGAAAATAGACTTAGTCAAAGTAGTTGTTAAGATGAAGATTCCTGGTTACTATACTATATTCAAAGGGAGAGGGCTAGATGTCTTATTATCAATTAGCATCTCAGTTTTTTAGTATTATCAGATGAATTTAGGAAATAGGGATTTACTACGATGTCCAGTCTTTGTCTTAGATATGATTTTTAAAAGATTTTGATCAAATCTGAAAAGATAATTATTTTTTCCTTTGATGATATCCCAAAGAATATTATATAGACTCAGAAATTACTTCCAAAAAAGAAATTTAATAAAATGTTTGAGCTGTAAAAGAGAATCAGACATAACTTCAAAATATACTGCTTTGTAGTGAGTACTGAGAATTACTATTTTGGCCAAAATGTCCAATAACCTAAGTACACTTTATAATATGTTTAAGGTGTTGATTGACAAACTTGGTATGGTGGTCATATTGTGTTTATGTCTTTGAAAGAAATAGACTAGTTTTCTTGTTCTTAACATAAAAAACTGTACTTTCTTGGCACTACTTGTTTCAAACGTGCTGAGATTAGTTTTCCTGAAAAGTTATTAATTTAAATTTTATTTAATTTTTCTCAGTTTTGTTCTCTGTAGTCTAAATTTTGACATGCTTTATTTTGTAAATTTTCTTTAGTAATATTTGTATTTCTAAATAATTTAAATGTAATTAAAGTGTACTGATTGGAAGGAATAAAGTTGTGTTTGCCAAGAATAATTTGTAAGATGGATATTTAAATTATTACCTAAATTTCTGTAAGTTCTCAATTTTAATCTTTTCTTTTTCTCCTAAAGATACTTGCTTAGCAACAAGGAATAGCACCAGTTGTACCTCTTCAGCTTCTTCACTTTCTAACTACTTGTATGTCTTCATCTTGGGACAACTGTTGCTGGGAACAGGAGGAACTCCTCTCTATACCCTAGGAACAGCTTTTATTGATGATTCTGTGCCCACACACAAATCTTCTCTCTATATAGGTAAGATGATTTTCTATATAAATGTCTTAATAGTGTTTTTTCTTATTTATTTGTTTAATTTACAAGCAAAACATAGCATGCACTTATTAAAAAGTTAGTTGTAATGTCATAGGTATTTTCATTATATAAATATAACATTTTTGTTTAGTTATTTACTGGTATATCAAGCCCTTCAGTTGGATGCTGTTGTCATCAGCTCTATGTCTCTGGGCTATGCCAGACTTACTTTCTGGATATAAAGAGCCATTCAAGCAGCAGACTGTCTGGACTGCTTGAATCCCAGGCTAAGTTACACAGATTCCAAAGAGAATGAGCTCTGCCATTCTGCATGACTTATTACATCCTACATAGACTTGATTAGAGTCAATAAGATAAACCATAATGTAGCACCCAGAAACTATGGGTTTTCCTCTCAAGTTAGCCCTTTTTATATATGACTTGGTTTTTTCCTTTGTTATCTAATTCTTGGTAGCATAAGTGTCTCTTAAATTCCTTCCTTGATGTACCTGCAAGGTAGAGCTTACTAGACTATTCATGACCCTACCTCTAATTATGGAGCAATTTATTTGCAAATAAGTTTTCTCTTTATCATTCTATTATCTTGGTCTTGGGTGCTCATTGCCATAGTAACTAGAAGTGTGTTCAGTGCAGCCATGGGAGACTACAAAACCTGCTTGGGCACAACACCTCTGTGGAAGCCAATAAACTTCTGCCTGTTTTCTCTACTTGTTTTGCCTTGGTCTCTTCACAAGCTCTGAATATTCTTTTCACAAGTTCTGGCTGATGTGTACAATTTCTTCTGAATTTACAAATTCAACAATGCTTTTTTTTTTCTAGTTAGCTAATGTGGATGTTTTTCACCCTTCTAGTTCAAGGGGACTTCCCCTCTGGTGTTCCTTTCTGGTCAATACTTCTCAGAAGACAATTACAATCTTTCTATTTCAGTAACGTACCAACATGTGGAATTTTTTTATTTTTTTTAATATTTAAACAGAGTACATGTGTTGGGAATCCTCAAGACCATTCCCAGGTTTGCTAATTCTTTAGGAGGACTCACAAGATTCAGTATATAATAATACTCATGACTATGATTTATTACAGCAAAAGGATACAAATAAAAATCAGCAAAGGGAAAAGGCATATGGGATGAAGTCCAGGGGAAAACAGGTGCAAGCTTCCAAGAGTCCTCTCCTGGTACAGTTATACAAGACACAATTCTTCCAGCAAAAAGTTGTAACAACACATGTGAAATGTTGTCTACCAAGGATGCTCATTAGAGACTCAGTGCCCAAAGTTTTTATTGGGATCTGTGCATGCAGATACCGTCTGCCTAATGTGTACTAAAGTTATAGACTCCCAGAAGGAAAACAAGTGCTCAGCAAAAATCCCATTGTTTACACAAGCAGTTTGGGGACAGTGAGCCACCAACATTAGTTAGGGAATGGTGGGAACCCTCCTTACATCCAAGTTCCCAGAGAGCAGCCAAGGGCCAACGTTGCAAGCAGGCTTATTTAAGGATTGGAATCTCAGGTCTCCTCTGTTAACTCTTGCAGAGGAGGGATCTGTAGAGTGGTGGTTATTGAGAGAAAAGGCAAATAACAAAAGTAACAAAACTAGGAAATTAATTTTGATTTCTATCCCTTAGTTTCATATGAACACTTCTCTTAATTATTTTAGTTTATATACTTCTTTCCTTGTTACAGATAAACAATATTTTTCATTGGATAATAGTTTTGTTGAATGAAACCCTTCCTTTCTTATGCTTGCTTTATGTGTATACTTCCTTATTTACAAATCTTCTTCCGTTTTTTATTTCCTATAAAATAGCAATTATTGTTGGTAGCACACAGCCCTCTATGTGGAAAAAATTATATAACAAGGCAAAAATGGGCTAAATGAAAACAACAGTCAACATTTGCTACCTGTCTTAGTCATTTAGTGCTGCTGTAACAGAAATACAACAAGTGGTTGGCTTTAACGAAGAGAGATTTACTCTCTTGCAGTCTAGGAGGTTAGAAGTCTGAATTCAGTCGGTTCTGGGGGAAGGTCCTTGTCATCAATCTTCCCCTGGTCTAGAAGCTTATCAGCACAGCCTCAGGTACAAAGGACGAGCTCCCCTCCCGGCTCTTCAGTCTTGATAGTGTGAGGTCCTCCTGTCTCTCTGCTCTCTTCTTTTATATCTCAAAAGAGATTGGTTTAAGACACAACCTAATCTTGTAGACTGAGTCCTGCTCTATTAACATAACTGCCTCTAATCCTGCCTCATTAACATCATAGAGGTAGGATTTACAACGCATAGGAAAATCACATCAGATGACAAAATGGTGGACAACTACACAATGCTAGGAATCATGGCCTAGCCAAGTTGACACATATTTTGAGGAGGACACAATTCAATCCATAACACTATGTATTAGAAAGAAGAAAAAATCGGTTAACAACCTTTTCCATGCTACTCGCCCTTTATGTCTTTGTATTTCATGTTTTCCTTTGACAATCTGTTCCTTTTAATTGAAATTTTTAATCTATTTACTGATATTTTGAGCTTAAATCTTTCATCTTAATATGTGCTTCCTATTTGCTCTATGTTCTTATTTCTCGCCCTTTTTTCTTTCTTTTGATCAATTAATTTTTATTGTTTCATTTCTCCTTCTATTAACTTCATAGATACACAGTCTTTTACTATTCATTTACTAATTACCACATATAAAAACTTGATTATGAAATTCTAATGTTTGTTGGTACTTTCACCATATTCTTGGTCATCACAAGAGCCTTAGAATCCTTTAACTTTATTTATCTCCCTCAATTGTTTTTGTATACTTCAATTCTTTATTTAAATTCACAAAATAATTATTATTAATGTTTTATTTTAAAATATTCATTAATATTTACCAACTTATTTACCTTTATCTATGTCCTTCTTTCATTACTGCACCTCTGAGCTTCAATCTGGAATTAATTTCTTTCTACTTGAAGAACAGTCTTGAATTAATTTCCTGGAGCAGTCTGCTTGTGATGAATTCTCTTGGTTTTTGTTTATCCAAAAATGATTTTTTTTAACCCTTTTCCTTGATGCTGTTTTCTCTGGGAATAGATTATTAGTTGATCATTGATTTTCTTTCAGTACTTTAAAAATATTGTTCCATTGTCTTTTCACTTCCTTTGTTTCTCTTTATGATGCCAATTGTCATTCATATCTTTGAAGGTAATGTGTACTCATACACATATATACACCACTTTCTTAACTCCAGATGATTTTGAGATACTTTTCTCTTTGTATTTAATTTCCAGCAGTTTTACTATAATGTGCCTAGGTGCAAATTTCCTTTTATTTAGCCTGGTTTGGATTTATATAACTTTCTGAATATGTTGCTTAATATATTTCATTGTTTTGGAAAATTTTCCTCTGCAATTTTTTTATTAAAATATAACTTCTTTCCTATTATCTTATCTCTTTTGAGACTCCACTTACACGTGTGCTAGACTTCCCTCTGCCGCCAGTTAACATAGTTTTACATAGATTCATAAGTATTGGATTTATTGCAGTTATTATTCCAGTCTAACAGCTTACACATTGGGTTAAATATTTTAGACCTCTTGACTTGAAAAATGATACAATTTAAATGGTATTTTTTAGTTAAATTATGTTTCATATTTACATAATTTTAATCATTTAGATTTTCTGACTATAAACTTATTTCTCCTCTTCACTACTGTTACACATTCAAGGCAAATTTGTACATGTGACCATATTCAATTTCTTTGTTCTTCTTCTAGGAATCGGCTATTCTATGTCAATCTTAGGCCCTGCAATTGGCTATGTTTTGGGAGGACAACTGCTAACCATATATATTGACACTGCTATGGGACGAAGGCAAGACAACGTCTACTTTTCTTTTATTTAAATTTATTGTTATTTTAATAATGCTAACATCATAAACTTAACACTTTTGTAGTATTTCCCAAGTGTAGCATGAGGGATTTTTTCAGGAAACAAAACTAAATATACACAATTCTTATAAGTTGTTGTTGTTAGGTGCTGTCAAGTTGGTTCCCACTCCAAGCAACAGAATGAAACACTGCCCAGACCTGTGCCATCCTCACAATTGTTGCTGTGTTTGAGCCCATTGTTCCAGCCACTGTGTCCATCCATTTCATTGAGGGTCTTTGTCTTAGTCATCTAGTGCTGCTATAACAGAAATACCACAGGTGGATGGCTTTAACAACAGAAATTTATTTTCTCACAGTCTAGTAGATTACAAGTCCAAATTCAGGGTGTCAGCTCCAGGGGAAGGCTTTCTCTCTCTGTTGGCTCTGGAGGAAGGTCCTTGCTGTCATTAATCTTCCCCCCCGACTAGGAGCTTCTCTGCACAGGAACCCTAGGTCCAAAGGATGCGCTCTGCTTCTGGCACTGCCTTCTTGATGGTATGAGGTCCCCTCTCTCAGCTTGCTTCCCTTTTCTTTTATCCCTTGAGAGATAAAAGGTGGCGCAGGCCACACCTCAGGGAAACTCCCTTTACATTGGATCAGGGATGTTACCTGGGCAAGGATGGTGTTACAATCCTACCCTAATTCTCTTTAATGTAAAATTACTATCACAAATGGAGGACAACCACACAATACTAGGAATCATGGCCTAGCCAAATTGATACCTACATTTTTAGGGGGACACAATTCAGTCCATGACAATCTTCCTCTTTTTTACTGACCCTCTACTTTACTACACATGATGTCCTTCTCCAGGGACTGGTCCCTCCTAATAACATGTCCAAAATATGTGAGATGAAGTCTTGCTATCCTCACTTCTAAGGAGTATTCTGACTGTACTTCTTCCAAGACAGACTTGTTTGTTCTTCTGACAGTCCATAGTACACCTTAGTTCTCAAAGTGACATCTTTGCTTTTTAACACTTTAAAGAGGTCTTTTGCAGCAGATTTGCCCAATGCAACATGGCATTTGATTTCTTGATTGCTGCTTCCATGGGTGTTGATTGTGAATCCAGGTAAAATGAAATCCTTGACAACTTCAATCTTTTCTCCATTTATCATGATGTTGCTTATTGGTCCAGTTGTGAGGATTTTTGTTGTCTTTATGTTGAAGTGTAATCCATTCTGAAGGCTGTAGTCTTTGATCTTCCTCAGTAAGTGCTTCAAGTTTTCTTCACTTTCAGCAAGCAAGGTTGTTAATGAGCCTTCCTCCAACCCTAATGCCCTGTTCCTCATATAGTCCAGCTTGTTGGATTATTTGCTTAGCATACATATTGAATAAGTATGGTGAAAGGATATAACCCTGATGCACACCTTTCCTGATTTTAAATCACGTAGTATCTCCTTGCTCTGTTCGAAAGACTGCTTCTTGGTCTATGTATAGTTTCTGCATGAGCACACTTAAGTGTTCTGGAATTCCCATTCTTCGCAATGTTATCCATAATTTTTTATGATCCACACCATCAAATGCTTTTTATTTCAATGCTTTTTCATTATAATATTTTACTTTGTCTTCTCAAGTTGCCCTTTGAAATCTCCTGTTCAGCTCTTCATCATCTCTTCCATTTGCTTTAGCTACTCTACATTCAAGAGCAAGTTTCTGAGTCTCTTCTGACACCCATTTTGGTCTTTTCTTTTTTTCCTGTCTTTTTGATGACCTTTTGCTTTCTTGATTTATGATGTCCTTCATGCCAACCCACAACTCATCTGGTCTTCTGTCATTAGTGTTCAATGCTTCAAATCTATTCTTGAGATAGTCCCCAAATTCAGATGGGGTAGACAAGGTCATACTTTGGCTCTTGTGGAATTGTTTTAATTTTCTTCATCTTCAGCTTGAACTTGCATATGAGCAATGGATGGTCTGTTCTGCGGTCGGCTTTTCCATTGACTCTAAGTACACACAATTCTTATATACTATCCTATTTTGGCTATAATGCTTCATAAATTAATGCCACAACCTTCTCTTAATATAAAATGTTTATTCATAAATAAGAATGCTTATAGAATTATCTGGTGAGATTTTTAAAACATACATCCAGGACACTATGCATTGTTCAAAAACAAGAATTCAATTAAAATTACTTATGTTTAAGTAGATTTTGCTTTTGGAAGATTGCCTGAAGATTTTTAAGGGTTTATGATTCTAAGCATAAGTTCTATAGTAGTTCTGATTAGTGTCACTGAGGTCATAATTGTGCAGCTTCCAAAACTGCAACAATAAAAAATAATAATGGGCACTGTTTATTGATCCCATATAATGTGTCAGACAATATGTGCAGTGTGTGCTATTTTATTTTACAAGCATTATCTTACTTAATAATAGTAAGCGACATCACGATAAATGGAGAAAATATTTATGTTGTCAAGGATTTCATTTGACTTGAATCCACACTCAGCACCCATGGAAGCAGCAATCAAGAAGTCAAAGGATGTATTTCATTGTGCAAATCTTCTGCAAAAGATCTCTTTAAAGTGTTAAAAAGCAAAGATGTCACTCTGAGGACTGAGATGAACCTGACCCAAGCCACGGTATTTTCAGGAGGGACCAGTCCCTGGAGAAGGACATTGTCATGGATTGAGTTATGTCCCCCCAAAAATGTGTAGGTCATGATTCCCAGTATTGTATGATTATGTACCATTTTGTAATCTGATGTGATTTCCTTATGTGTTGTAAACTCTATCACTATGATGAGGTTATACTGATGAGGTCTACAAGGTTGGATAGCGTCTTAAGCCAATCTCTTTTGAGATATAAAAGAGAGAAGCGAGCAGAGACACATGGGAACCTCATACCACCAAGAAAGCGGTGCCGGGAGCAGAGTGTGTCCTTTGGACCTGAGGTTCCTGTACTGAGATGCTCCCAGACCAAGGGAAGGCTGAAACATCATAAGGACCTTCCTCTAGAGCTGACAGAGAAAGAAAGCCTGAATTTGGACTTGTAACCTATTAGACTGTGAGAGAATAGATTTCTCTTTGTTAAAGCCATCCACTTGTGGTATTTCTGTTATAGCAACACTAGATGACTAAGACATCATACTTGGTAAAGTAGAGGATCAGCAAAAAAGAGGAAGACCCACAACAGGATGGATTGACACAGTGGCCGGAACTATGGGCTCAAACATAAAAACAATGATGAGGATGGCACAGGACTAGGCAGTGTTTCATTCAGTTGTAGATGGGGTCGCTATGAGTCAGCACCTAACAGCAAGAACATTTTACCTAATCCTCTCAGTTATCCTTTGTGGTAGATGATACACACAGCTGGTAAGTGGCTGGGATATGAATCAAATAGATCTTTTTGACTTCTAGGTTCTCCTCTTAACCACTGAGTTATCTTTTTCTTTCCCTGAATAGAGACATTAGTAACCTTTGACGAAGCCATATTTTCTCATTTTACCACTAGGAATCATGACTTCACAGTTCTTTGCATGACTGTGAGCAATGAATGAGAACATATGGTTATAGTTATGTGATTTGTTTACTGAACTGTTAATCTGTGGTTAATCTTTTGGAGACTGTAGGGGTAAATGTCCTAGTTTTAAACCATAAATAAGGGTTTAAATTACTTAAATTACTCTTGGAGTAATTGCAATGATTTGGTCTGAGATCCCAGGCCACACCTGAGGATTTGCACTAGTGAGTAGGGGCTGGCCAGTCTAGAAAAGACTCACCTGGGAGATCAATATCAACTAGCCTCAGGAGGCACGATTTAGCCTATTATGCAGGACTGGCCAATAAAAGCCCTGAACTTGGCGGCTCAGAGAGCTTCCTGGCTTGTGAGGACTTTTGCCCTCAGGAGGGTAGCATGTCCCTTGGGACATGGAATCTCCATACCGAGAACCATCCCAGACCTTGCCCTACGCATCTCTTCTTTCATATCCTTTTTGGCTATAATAAATCATAAGTATGGTATAACCTCCACGTATTCTGTGAGTTTTTCTAGCAAATTATTGAACCCAAAAGGAGTAGTAAGAGCCAGCAGGTCAAAAAGTAAGGGTATTGCGTGGAATCTCATGCTTGCAGCTGGCATTTTGAAGGGGTAGTACGAAATTAGCCTTGAATTTGTGGCCAGCAGGCCAGAAAGTTAAGGTGTCATGTGTGAGCCCTGACCTAGCTTCAGGTGGCTAGAGTCAGAGAGAGAGAGGTACGTGGGTGGCTGACGAGAAGGATGTGAGGATTAGATCAATATCCATGTTTTGGGGATTGGATTCATGCTGATCCTTACCACACAGAAACTATATAAAAAGGCATGCAAAGAAGCCTTTGAAGCAGAGAGCTGGGCTTTTGAAAAAAACAGTTTAATCTCGGTGGAGGAATTAGATAAGTTGTAGCGGTGGTGTGTTTTTAAAAAGAGCTGATTGATACAAAGATATTAAAAATTGTTAATACATTATTTTAAGAAAAATTTTACATTTAAAAGAATCCTATAATTAAAGCAAAGTGTATGGACTTTGAACACAGATCAATGATTTACTGATGAGATATATTTAATTTAATAGAGCAGAAGAGAAATATATAGCTAAAGTCAGATAAAAAGTGTTGAAAAATCCTAACTATGTTTTCAAATGCTCGGCATATGTATATTTTCTGTCAATTAATTTAAGCTTTTATATCATATAACCATTTTTGAAATACTTTGTGAATCATTATTCTTTTCATTCTAATTTATGCCTGCTACCTGTTATCTTATTCATCACAGTGGCTTCAGTTGAAATTTTGGATGTTATAATAATATTTCACTGTATGTACTTGAATATAAAATATAAAATAAAATATAGAATTATTATAACTGAATTTTAATTAGTAAGGTCGAGTTTACTTTTCCTTTTTTTTTTTTTTCCTATCATACAGCACTGGTATCAACAAAGATGATCCACGCTGGCTGGGAGCTTGGTGGATAGGATTTCTTTTGGCTTGGCTCTTTGCTTGGTCTTTGATAATACCTTTTTCTTGCTTCCCAAAACATTTACCAGGTAAATACATTTTCTTACAAATCAGAGAATTTTACTCTAATTCTAGACCAGGCGTTACTTTCTGTATAATTAATAAGAACTCTAGATAATTCATCCTATTTGTTGTATAGACTTTCAAATGCCTGACTATATGTATAAACTTTTGAATATCTGTATTTAGTTATTTTTTTAAAAACTGTATAGCAATCTTAATATTCATGACTTTTCTTTATTTCCAATTAATAATCAACAGAACTGTGTGCATATTCAACTCTTTACTAAGTACTTAGTAAATTTGTTTCTTATATTCTATCTGGAATCTTATATTATATACAAGATACAATATCTTACAAACTATTACTTTGTAGTCAATTGGTCACTAATGTCAAGAGCAAATATGCCTTAAACCATTCATGTTAATTACGTGTTGTTGAAAATTCAAATAATTGTTATTTTCAATTATCACCAAAGTCATGCTCCATAGACTCATTTTTTTTACCATATGTTAATACTAGACCATCTGCACCGAAAGAAAAGGTTAATAGAAAAGATTATCTATTTCTCTCTCTGAGATTTTGCTTCTGTAAAATTCTGTAGTTCAAATCCATAACTGAAAAAATGTTTTCTTCAGGCTGACAGTATTTAGTTGTTCCCATTGTTATTGTGACAGGATGGATGATTAACTTTGGAAATGAGCAAAAGAAAAGATGGCAGAGTAGAAGTAGGCAGACTCATTGATTACCTTCTACTGTGGGCCATTCCATCTTATAATTTCGTCTGTTGAGAGTTTTCTCAGAATTATTGCTGGTGCAATTATACAAATCACAGGAAAATGGTGCTAAATGGTAAATATTTCATTTGCCAAGCAAGAGAGATTTTACATGAAAAGAAAATATATGTGGTTGGAGCAAAATGGTCTCATTTCAATGTTTAGACTAGTTGTAACTTCCGTAGCCTAGTGATAATGAATACTAACTCTTAGGACTGCCAGATTACAGACATATGCATTTGTACAATTTTGTTCACAAAATGAGGAGCTGTCCTCTATTTTATGGAATTTATATATGTGGAGGAGTGTGTGTTATTTATAAAGTAAACTTTTTAAAATTAAGAGTGAAGTGATATAGCAAGTACATTTGCTATTTTTTAGGTACAGCAAAAATTCAAGCTGGAAAAATTTCCCAGGCTCATCAGGATAAAAGTAGCTCCATACGACAAGCAGATGAGAATTTTGGAAAGAGCTTTAAAGATATTCCAGCTGCTCTAAAGGTAAAATAAAACTTCACAGACACACACATGCACATACAAATCTTTTCATAATGCATTCCTGTTTGCTTATTTTCTGCAGTTCTATCTCTTATAAACAACCTTTCAGACTTAATTTTATTCTGCTTTGAGTGAATGAAAATTATTTCAGAGGAGAATGGTTGAAAGAGCATGAGTTATCTTATTGGCGATGTTAATATTCAATGGTTCCTCATTAACACTATAACCCATTATTCGGTGCCATTTCCATTATGTAATGGATGGATCAATTATCATCAAATTGTAAATGTATATTTGAGAATGCCAAATCAATATGAAAGAGGAGGTGTTTAGTGGTAACTTGATTTGAATTTGAGGTTAAAGAAATAAAAGTGTTATAGGTTATTCTGTTGTACTCAGTAGCAAAGTGTTCTTTTTATTTAATGCCATAAGCATTATGTACGTAAGAGAGTTTAGACTTTATTAATTTAACTTTTCAATATTTGAAATTATTTACTTTTCTTTATTCTTTTGCCTTCTTCTCAAATGAAAGCCTTAAAATGTTCCAGCTCTACCCTCTTCTTTCCCACGCACTCACATTCTTGTGTTTTGCTGAGATTGTTCATACATTTTAGTTCTAATTACTATTTTTTCTTATAGTAGTTTTGTTCTACTTAATAAATTTCTGTTTAATCTATGTTATAAATTCTAATTTCTATCACCACTGTTTTTTATCCTTATGGTCTGAATTAATATGTATTAATACATATTTTGATTAAAATATCATTTTTTTTTTTTAATCACTGCAGAAAGTTAGACCTTTCTTCTTTGTTGTCAGTTGTATCTCCTCACCCATGGCCCCAGGCAACCACTAACCTGCTTTTTGTCACTATAGTTTTATCATTTATATATATATATTTATTATTATTATGTATTT